AAGGAAGAGGAATGCAATCAAATCTGATATAAGGTTATCAAGAAGAGGTACACCAGACTCAACTGAAACCCCCTCCTCTTTCAAAACCATTGCATTTCTGTTATCTAAAATTAGCTTATGAACCATTCTAAATTATTTGATTATAACGGTTCAGCAAAAAATTCAGAATTCCTCCCCATTGCAGTGTAAGAATTCCAGTGTCAAATCAAGCAAAAGAAATTAGACATTTTTTACTGAATTTAAAATTAAAATAAAGTTGTAATATAAAAATTCAAACGGAGAGATACTAATAAATGGTTAATCTGGTTGATCTTTGGATTATGGTAACTTGGCAATTTTTTAGCAAAAATTTGGCGACCAGCTCTGCTACAGCAACCCTCTATTTTTTTTCTTCCGTCGCCATTTTGTCTTCACGAAGTAAAGACATGTTTCTTTTCTTTTTATTTACTGAACATTTTTTCCAACAATCTACTAGCCAAATTACACTTATACTAGAAATTTTATCTAACAAAACTGCTTAATCATGACAAATATTCACTGCAAAATTGGGAAAAAGTGCACAATCGCAAACTCCTTGCGCGTTTTTCACAATAACACATACACATAAACCATGTACACGTCGACTTATTTTTACTTAAAAAAAAACATCCTAGAATTGCACAAAAATGGCATTGCGCACACTCTTCACTATATCCATGTACACTGCTTTTTTCTCATAAATTAGAAAAATTTCACGAAAATGCATGACAATTTTCTGAATCTTTAAACCCGGTAAAAAGAACATATATGAAATTACCTTATTGCGAAAAAGTATATACCCTTTCCAAATATGAACATTTCCACGTATAAAATAAATAATATATCCAAAAGCTTATACCTCTAAATTATCTATTATATTAAAAACGTCACCAACGAATTCATACCGCAAACATTACAAATACTTAGTGTCAAGTATTTAAATTAGTTCCATGCACGTTTACTTCAACTAAAACGTATACCAAATTCCTACAAACATAAAATTTACAAAATAACTATCATTTAATTAAAATATCACTAAACCATGTACACGTCAACTTATTTTACTTAAAAAAACATCCCAGAATTGCACAAAAATGGCATTGCGCACACTCTTCACTATAACCATGTACACTGCTTTTTCTCATAAATTAGAAAATTTCACGAAAATGCATGAAAATACTCAACGTATACTACTCAAAACATATTCCAAAATACTACAAACATATAACTTACAAAATCACGATCATTAAATTAAATATAATTTAAATTAAAAAACACTAATTAAAATACAAATAAGCACATACATTAAATTAATAAAAATTAGATTACAATCCTAATTACTTTAAACTAAATCATTGCTAATAACAATTTTCAAATAATACCATTTTAATTTTTTTACTCCTTACATTTAGAACAATGCATAAAAATAATATCCTCAAATGATTAAAAATACTAACTTACCTAATCTTCTTCAGAATCTTCATTACGTGGCTGCAGTACTACTGCTAATTTCTAAATCCTAAATCCAGTAGTCAACTGGAAGTCTATTCACCAAGTAATAAGAAATTAATAAAATTTCACCTGTACTCAAACTACTTTCAGCAAACCACGTACCCTTCCTTACACTCCTTTTTACAAAATGTCCATTTTCACCATATTTCTTGCACCACCATTTAAACTTGTAATATCCTTTGCTGATCTTTAGAATATGGTAACTGTTAGTTTGGCGACATTTTGGAGGCGATAAAGGTTACTACCTGGGACTTTGGTAATAATGTGAGCAGTACTCAGTTCCGATTACGCATTATTTTGTGTGAGGGAAATGAAAGATCATGGGATATGTCATGTGATATTAATGGATGAATTACGGTTCTTTAATCTCAAAAGTGGGGGAAATCGGGAAAAAATCTGGAAATTTTGTATTTGGCTTTATTCTGTGTTGTGTGAAACAGTGTACGTTAATTTTTGGATCCCATGGCCCTAACTAAAGTGAATTCGAAATGGGTATTAGTGGGATTGAAAGGGTAGTAGGTAGTATAAGTGTTTCTTTAAGGTTGTGCGAGAGATAGAAGTAAAGATGTTTTATTAAGTTATTTATTTTAACTGGTACCTTGCTGTGAACCATAAGTATGATTTTAAAGATCCTGAAAACAGAAATAAGAAAAGTTTATCGGACACGTAATCAAGATTCTGAAGAAGATTAGGTAGTTAAGTTAGTATTTTTAATTATTTGAGGATATTATTTTTATGCATTGTTCTAAATGTAAGGTGGAAGTAAAGTAATTTGCGTAAACGTGCATGGAAATAATTTAAATATTTGACACTAAGTATTTGTAATTTTTGCGGTATGAACTCGTTGGTGACGTTTATAATATAATAGATAATTGAGAGGTAAAAGTTTTTGGATATTTTATTTTATATGTGGAAATGTTCATATTTGGAAAGGATATATACTTTTTCGCGATCAGGTAATTTCATATATGTTCTTTTTACCGGGTTTAAAGATTAAAAAAATTGTCATGTATTTTCGTGAAATTTTTCTAATTTATGAGAAAAAAGCAGTGTACGTGGATATAGTGAACAGTGTGCGCAATGCCATTTTTGTGCAATTCTGGGATGTTTTTTTAAGTAAAAATAAGTCCAACGTGTACATGGTTTATGTGTATGTGTTATTTTGAAAAAAAACGCGTAAGGAGTATGGTATTGTGCACTTTTTCCCAATTTTGCAGTGAATATTTGTCATGATTAAGCAGTTTTGTTAGATAAAATTTCTAGCATAAGTGTAATTCGGGTAGTAGATTGTTGGAAGAAGTGTTCAGTAGATAAAAAGAAAAGAAACATGTCTACTTCGTGAAGACAAATTGGCGGCGGGAAAAAAAAAATAGAGGGTTGCTGTAGGAGAGTTGGTTGCCAAATTTTCGCCAAAAAAACGCCAAGTTACCATAATGTAAAGATCAACCATATCCTTCCTTTCACACAATCTCAACTTATTATTATTATCAGATAAACGCATTAAAAATTTAGAATTCACTTTATATAGCACCATGCAATCCGAAAATTAATCAACACTATTTCACACAACACACAATGAAGCTTTTCCAAATTAACCCCCTTTTCCGATTAAAGAACTGTAATTCATCCATTAATGTCACGTTTCACACAACACAGAATATAGCTAAATACGAAATTTCTAGATTTCCCCCCTTTTTGATTAAACAACTGTAATTCGTCCATTAATGTCACATGACATATCTCACGATCTCTCATTTCCCTCACACAAAATAATGCGTAATCGGATCTGAGTGCTTCTCACATTATTACCAAAGTCCTAGGTAGTAACCTTTATCGCCTCCAAAATGTCGCCAAACTACCAGTTACCATATTCCAAAAATCAGCCATTAATCTTTGGATTATGGTAACTTGGCGATTTTTAGCGAAAATTTGGCGACCAGCCCTGCTACAGCAACCTGCTAGTTTGTTTTTGGACGCCATTTTGTTTTCACAAAGAAAGGGCATCTTTGTTTTTTTTAATAAAAATTTTTTTCCAACAATCTGCTAGCCGAATTATGCTTATGCTAGAACTTTTATGGAACAAAAGTGCTTAATCATGACGAAGATTAGGTACGAAATTGGGAGAAAGTGCAGAATCACCCACTGCTTGCTGCATTTTTAAGAATTGCACATACATGGTATAATCAATGTACACGTCTACTCATTTTCACTTAAAAAAACATCCCAGAATTGCACAAAAATGGCATTGCGCACACTCTTGACTTTATCCATGTACACTGCTAAAGTCCTAGCTAGTAACCTTTATCGCCTTACCAAAATGTCGCCAAACTATCTGTTACCATATTCGAAAGATTAGCCTTTTTTGTTTTTGTTTTGGATTTTTAGCTTAAATTGTGTTCAAAACATGGTTTTTGCACGTGCGAAAACCGCGTTTTTGGAGACATTATTTTAGGCTTAAAGTTTGAAACTGTAGACAAAAAATTTAGATAGTAATATGGCACCGTGGAAGAAATTTGGCGACCTGAGGGCACATATAAGAGTAGTTCCAATATTTTTCCTAATATATATAAGTAATAGGACTAAAATATTTTAAAAACTTGTTTAGTGCTTAAATAAATAAATTGTTTAAATGTAGTTATTCAATTTGATTTCCTGAACTAAAAATAATTTAGAAATCAGTGTAAAGTGGTTGAGTCACTGCCTGTATGTACATTTATCTTGAAATGGTTGTCACTGCCTGTATGTACATTTATCTTGAAATGGTTGTATACATGAACAGAAAGGCAAAGTGTAAAGTGGCAGTATCATTTTGGAATTGGCTAAAGTGCAGAATCGCCCAGTTATTTGTTGGGTACTTTTTACAAGAGTAAGAAGAATTGGATTTTTGTCAATTTTCTTTGACTTTTTAAGTGAAAATAGGTCGATGTGTGCATGAATTAAGTCAAGAGTGTGTGCAATGCCATTTTTATGCAATTCTGGGATATTTTTTTTAAGTGAAAATAGTGCGTGTACATGGATACCACATATGTGCAATTCTTAAAAACATGCCAAGCAGTGGGCAATTCTGCACTTTCAGCTTGGAATTTTGTAAAATACCACTTCCTTATCTCATTTTTGCAAACTATGGGGTTTGGGGGCCAAACTAATGACTGGTTGGAGTGTTAGATTATTAAATTATTAATAATTATCTGTTAATTAACTGCATCATTTTTCTGCAACTTTGTCAGTACTCATCTTAAAATAAGCTAAGAATAAAGTGGAATTGACTCTATGTGTGTCTTTGAAGGAACTATTTAAGAACTTCTTATGAGAAAGTTTATTTAGTTAAGCTTGAGAAGTTGTGAATAGGAAAGCATGAAATAAATATTATAGGGAGAAATTTTATTCAGGTATACTAACAATATTTAAAAGTTTTATTAATTTGTTGTTTTATTGTATACTTAATAAAATACTTCATTTTCTATTTGCAGAACTCTGCCTCCATCTGAAGGTAAGACTTTTTTTAATAACTTAATTCCTAAATTTCTATTCAAATGGCAATATTGGTATTTAAAATTTTTTTCCTTTTAATTTTCCAGATACATTTTGTATTTATTTGTATGACATAATTCTCAAATGTATATTGATCTCCTTAAAACTGCTTGCACTTGCCATTGTCTACCTACCTACAGTGTGAGGCAATTATATAATGAGACTGCGCACCTGTCACATAATGTAATTCATGAGTTTGTATTGAAATGCAGTTGATGTTGAAGATCAGTTTCTGTTCATTTCCTTTTTCTGTCTTTCATCTTCAGTTCGCTTTTGAGCCTTGGATGTAGAAGATTTCATTGTGTGGTAGTGCTGCAATTATGGTGAACGTAAAACTTCAGTAGTGCCTTAACCTTGATTTCCTTGTGAAATTAAAAAAGTCATAAACAGAATGTTTTTATACATTAAAGGAGGTGTTTGGTGATAAGGCTGTGTCAGGTGCACGAGTTTTTGAATGGCACAGATGGTTTTCAGAAGGTTGGAAAGAGGTTTAAGTTGAGGAACGTCGCGATTGATCTGTGAATTCAAGAACTGAAGCGGATGTTCAGAAAATTGGTGAAATTGTGTGAAAAGACTGACATCTTAGCATTTAGATGCTCACAGACATGGTGAACATTAAAAAGATACGTTAAGACAAATTTTGCATGATGAATTAATGGTTCCGAAAAAGACTCGTGTCATTTGAAAGACTAAAAGGAGCTATTAAAACTAACCTTCGTTTGGCAAAAATCTCTTCTTTTTATTTCTGTTGTGGAAGTTCTACATCCATTTCTAAAATCCTTTCAGACAGCTGATATGCTAAATCAGCTTCTCTCAAAATTTGTCGAAAGAGGTTTACTGCAAGAGGCAAAATAAAATTGATAAAATTAGGTATTCTGTCTCAAACGGTTTATTGTAATGTTGCAAATATAGATGTGGGTATTGCTGCTGGTGCAAATTTAAGTAAAAGTGGAGTGTCTAATGTAAAGAAAAGAGAATTCAGAACTCACTGCAAAACCTTTTTGGTTAAGCTTGCATCAGAAATAGTTGAAAGAAGCCTGTTTAAGTATAGTTTGGTCAAATATATTTCTTCATTAGATCCTAAGGTCTAATTAATTGTTATGCGAGAAAAGGATAGGGAGGTTACTGCATATACTATATGAAAGTGAATGAATAAGTTCTGAAGTTGCTGATAAATTAAATATGTAGTTTAAGAAGTGTTATTCAGATAGAAGGGTGTTTGGAAAGATTACTTTGTTCTACAGTGCAACTTGATCTTTTATATAAGGACTTGATTCAGATTTTGATGAACTTTGCAGACTTGTAAAACTAGTTCTAATTTTATCACATGATGGCACTATTTAATTATTTTAAGCATTAATTAATGAATTATTTCAATAATTATTTAGTTTTTAAATTATTAATGATTTTATTAGTCCCTTTTTTTATTTATTTATTTTTTCCCCTATTTCCAGACGATGTTCCACAGTGCTCCAGCACATCTAATTTTAGAATTTAAACCCTCGTTTTTCTGAATAAAATTAATTTTACACTTTTTTCCTGTGATTTTTTTTGCAAAATATTTCTGGTTTTATGCTGTTACAGAATTGGTAGGGGTCATTTTTCTTTAGGATTTTAGACATTGCAGCTGAGGAAGTTTAGAAAGATATGAAGGCAAGATTTATAGACCCATGATTCTAGAAGATTCCAGAAAATGTGACAAAATGAAAAATGTTTCCATGGTATTAACACGCAGTTTCTTATTATTTGGAAACCATCTGGAAAAACAATAAAAACTTTTTAGTTGAATGCTTTACTTCTGATACTAGAATCTTTTTTTTAACATTTTTATCCGCCTTTTATTTTCTCTACTTTTCACTAGACACAAGCATGGAAAATATCAAAAATGCTTCTAATCTTATCATATGGACAGGCATTATAGAAAGAAATTTGTTTACTAATAAAGAAATTGAAAATTGACAATTTAAAAGATTCATTTAATATGTCAATGCATCATGCACAAAGCTGGCACTAGGCATTTTCCTTCCTGATGCAGTCTCTGTGGGTCTTAAATTCTGCTGCCTGGTGCCTTTCTAAATTCTGCTTCCAATGCCTGCTCTAAATTCTAAAAGTTTTACCATTTCTAGATTTTGTTGCTTGGGGTGTCACTAAATTCTAAAAATTATGCAACGTCAGCTCTCTAACCAGACCTTATATATATTTCAAATTTCTTTTGAATATTCATATTACTAAAGAAATAAAATTAGCAGCTTTTTCTATGCATTCTAAATGCATTTAGTTTATTTAGACTCGCACAAATCTTTAATTAAATCCAAAAATTCTAAAATGAAAAGGAAACATGGAAGAAAGAAACTGAATACATAAAAAGAAAGAAAATTATTCTTCAAACATATTCAGTTATTATTATGTAAAAAAAACCCAATTGTTTGTAATTTCAGCCTTTACTGTAATTTCCCATTTCTATTTCCTCACCAGAATGCAAATCACTTAGACAGTTTTTAAGCTGTGAAAGAGTGTAAGACAAGAACATTTTTGACCTCCACTTGGTCTCTGCATTAGTTCCTGCCAGCTTCTGATAATTTGTAATTATTTGTCTTTGCATTACTGCTGCCGACATTTGAGTTTGTTATGACGATAGAGTTACTGAGCCAGTTTAAAATGAAATTAAGTTGTATAGTCTTTGCCCACTTGTCGATATTTTTAGTTTGAATTTGAATCTTCTTGTTTAATTACATCACAACAAGCTGTAACTGATTTTGTTAGCATAAGAACATGGCTCTATGTTCTAAGTACTTTTTAAATAAGAAGCATATTTAAACCTTTGTCTGACTTTATAGTTACTTTCAGACATAGCGATAATTTGCTTCACATCTGCCAGGGGGTTTTGGACGATTTAACTTTTACCAGATCAAATAAACCCTCATAGGTAGATTGTGGAGTGGTTGGCAGGTTAGGAGATAAAACACGCAGAAACTAGTGAGTACATTCTTTTGCGTATTGAGACAGATTTCTAATTGTTAGAAAAGATGCTTAAAGAGAAGGAAATCTGTGTAAATTAGCCAAAATGTCTGGGAAGGCTTAAATTAAAAAGACGCATAACTATTTTGTTGTATGTTTTGTAGCTTTTAATGTGTAATTATCCTAATATTGTTTTAGAATCAATATCATAAATTACAGGTATTTTAAATTGTGAAATTTCCATTAGATTGTAGTTTTAATAGGGCTTTTTTAAACAAATATTGTTAAAAAATAAATAAAATTTAATAATGGTCATGTAAATCCATAATGACTAGGGTTATCTAATACCTAATTTAATTACTTATAACTAACTGCTTACCCTTAAAATTATCTCTGCATATTAAAGCGAGTTATTGCCTTTCATTTACCTTGGTCACAAGATAAAACACAAAAATGTAAAAATTCATGTGAAACTTATTCTTCGCAGCTAGTGAGACTTACAATAATAAAAAACAACTTAGCACCTCTGGTGTTTTGTTGGCTTATTAGAACTCTAAAGTAGATTATCTGAGTCACAACCCCTAAAACTCTACACGAAACTACGACACTGCGTCAGACGGAGCCCAGCTAACTTTCAGAACTTGTCATCAATGACTACATCAGGCATTTCAGGTTTGTTCTGATCAGCAGGTCTCTCTCTAGCAATGGTGACAACAGCCAGTCTTTTGTTATAAATCATGCTGATTATGATCTTACTTCTCATTTTAACGTATGCCACTTGCCATAAAATATGCTTACTATTTACTAAACCTCTAGACTGAGTGAGTATGGGACAAAATATATATATATACAGTCGAATTCGGTTAATTGGACCACCGGATAATCGGACCAGCCGCTTTTTCGGACTGAATCTTAAAGAACCAAAACAAATCCTATGTACATGAGCCTAATATTCATTCACTTATTTGGACCAAAATTCCATTAATTGGACCAAAAAACATGAGAGCGAATAAGAACCAGAAGCCACAAGTCGACCACGTACAGCGGATGTAGAGGTGGTTCGCAACATATGGGAGGATCTGTAGCTGTGCTCCCCAGGAGAATGCTTTATCAAAGGTCAGAAATTCCTTAAAGTGCACGAGAAAATCAAACTGTGAAGGTGAACACGCGAGCCATTTTCTTACACCTTTTTTAAAACAGAGCCACCAGTAGCCGCCAGCAAGGTTATTGGTCCCACTGCATCTCCGATTTTCGAGGAAATAAACAAAAGAGTGTCCATCTCCACTTGAAGGAAATTCCCACCTGTCAACCATGGTTAAAGTTTACATGAGAAAGTATCATTTCACCACCCTCTTGGGATGATTTTAGTGTCAAAGCTTTGAATGGCGAGCATTTTATCTCCCTTTTGACCTCAACATTTTTACCCTGAAACACCAAGGTTTCTTCAAACCAATTTAGTCAGTGAACTGTGTGCATGTCTTGTCTTCCCTGCCAAAATGCCGGGACGGGACGTTAGCTGAAAAAATTGGTTTCCTGGATAAGATCAAGCAACAACCACAAAACACTAGTCAACGTCGGTTGGTTTAAATTACCGGATTGGCAAAGACTATAATTTCATGCTTGATAAAACAAGATAATGAGCTGTGAGAAGAACGGGCACAATGTGAAGGACGAGGAGGAACTTCTAAAAAACGGAAGCATGAAGGAATGGACCCAGACGTCGATGAGGCCCTTAATGGATGGTTAACCATTGTTACTGGATGAGCTGTGCGAGTAAGTGGCTTCATGTTAAAATACAAAGCAGAAGAACTTGCTAAAAAGCTGGGCCACAATGACTTTAAAGCTATGGACGGTTGGTTGTCTCGATGGAAATCTAGACATGATATAAAATTCAAGAAAGGACATGGCAAGAAAGAAAGTACTGATACAGCAAATGCTGAAGAGTGGAAATCAACAAAGCAGCCCAAGCTTCTTGAAAATTTTTCAGCAGATGACATCTAG